CTCTTTGTTTATCCTTCTCAGATGGTGAAAGCAATTCAGGTCCTGAGAATTCATCTGCTGGAGCTGGAGAAAGTGAATGAATTGTGCAAGGACTTTTGTAACCGTTATATCACCTGCCTCAAAACAAAGATGCACAGCGATAACCTACTCAGGAATGATCTTGGGGGGCCCTACTCCCCAAACCAGCCCTCCATAAACCTACACCCACAGGTAATGGCTGAAAATGTCCACCACACATGCTTTCCTAGAATCTCCCCTTGGGCCTTATTGTTCTACAAACAGTTTCACTCCATTTTATAGAGTTCCTCCTCATTTTGATCCAGTTACCAGGAGGCGCATTTTCCTAATGGGTTGTGTGAGCATGGCAGAGGGATCCTGGAGATTTAAGACACTTTGGTTCTGATTTTCAGAGGCACTCAGTATCTGCAGCTCCCGTTGGCTTCCCATTGTACTTGCTCAACAGCTCTGGAAATCAATCAAAAAGTGTTTCCAGGTGGGCTCTAAAAATGGAAGCACCTGAAAATTAGGGGCACTATTGAAAATGTAAGTCTTAATTTGTGTGTGTATATGTGAATATATGTGTTTGAAAGCAAATGACTCATGTCCTGCTCACATAATGAATAAGCACAAAGCCACAGGAGGAAATGGTGCAGTGATTGAGTGTGTTTCATTGGGTTGCTCTGAATGCCATCCTGCAGCAGAGCATTCTTTCATAGAAATGTGACTCTAGTGGGTGACTCCCACTGGCTGGTAGAGTTTTAACCATGTTTATGGATGATGAAACTGAGATGTCAGATAAAGTATTGCATACGGCCGTATGTCAGTATGCAGTGATAGTTACAGAGGGGGCACAAACTAATTAGAACCATGGGAAATTCTTAGTGCTTGTCTATATGGTGAATTAGTGCACAGCAAGCTGAGGTGTAAATCTGCAGTGTTCTAGCATGCTGCAAACTAACTGTCTGTGCGCTGTGATGTACTGGCGTTTGAAACCCTGCACACTAACTCTGCATATAGGCAAATCCTTATCCTCCCTTTGAAAAAAATTTTAAATAAAAAAACAGATTTTGGGTTACATTTTAAAGTTTATGGAGATATAAACTGTCGAATTTGTCAATTATTACCATAGAAAAAGGGACACGATTTTGTAGCAGCAAAACCCTGGCACAAAAATTTCATGAAGCCTAATCCCTATTAACATTCTTTTAAGCAACCCCGTGTTCTTTTTCCTCTCACTCAGGTCAAAGTTTGTCCATTTGAATTGCTCTGCTGGATTTTTTCTAGAAAATCTTCTTCTAGAAATCCAGCAGATGTTGTGCCCTTGACAGAACAGTAATGCAGTGAACTTCCTTTCACAGCTCTCACTGGTACTGTCTTTTACCTCTTCCTTCAAAGGCAGCACAGACAGCTGCTGGGACAGGCATCGGAGTGCATTGCTTCTATACTCTTCCATCCTGCCTGCTGACCACTAGCTTAGTGTCTCAATGCATCGTAAGGCTTTTTTTAGGGTTCTTTGCTTGAAATTGCTGTGTAGGTGCTGGATGAGTGGCTTCCCCAAGAAGGGAGGCAGGAAGTCAAGTAGTACATGGAAATCCAACCCTAGTGAAGCCCAGGAAATGGAAGATCAACTACATCAGGCAACATGTAAGAAGAAAATAAAGAGGTTAAAATAGAATTTGAACCGTAAATAATTCAAGGTATTTAAAAATAACAAGAAATTTTAAACATCTATCAGAAGCAAGATGCCTGCAAGAGGATCAGTGGGTCCATTACACCACCAGGGAAAAGTTCAGGAAATTAAGAAAATTGCTGGAAAGTTAAGCAATTTTTCCCTCAGGTCTGGTCTATACTTAAAACTTTATATTGGCATAGCTATGTCAGTCAGGGTGTGAAAAAACTACACGCGGTAGCAACATAGCTATGCTGACAACCCCCCAGCACAGACGCAGCTATACTAACAGAAGAGAGCTTCTGTCAGTCTAGCTAAGGGTATGTCTACACTACAAAATTAGGTTGAATTTATAGAAACTAGTTTTATAGATATCGGTTTTATACAGTCGATTGTGTGTGTCCCCACATAAAATGCTCTAAGTGCATTAAGTCGGCGGACCGCGTCCACAGTACTGAGGCTAGCGTCAACTTCCGGAGCGTTGCACTGTGGGTAACTATCTCACAGTTCCCACAGTCTCCGCCGCCCATTGGAATTCTGAGTTGAGATCCCAATGCCTGATCATGCAAAATAGTGTCGCGGAGGGTTCTGGGTACATGTCGTCAGGCCCCTCCCCCTCCGTCAGAGCAACGGCAGACAATCGATTCGCGCCTTTTTACCTGGGTTACCTGTGCAGACAACATACCACGGCAAGCATGGAGCCCGCTCAGCTCAGCTCAGCTCACCGTCACCATATGTCATCTGGGTGCCGGCAGACGTGGTACTGCATTGCTACACAGCATCAGCTCCTTGCCTTTTGGCAGTGGATGGTGTATTACGACTGGTATCCGTCGTCGTCGTACTCCAGTGAGTTCAATCAGAGGCACCCGGGAAAGTTCTTCAGCAGATTTTTCTAAGAAATACTACACCAAACTTTCCACTCTGGGCATCTGATTCTTGACGATGATGGCTATCAGTCGTAGTACATCATTTTCTGCCAAGCACCCAGAAGATGCCGATGGCTTTCAGTCATGCTGCACCGTCTGCTGCCAGCTTAAGATGTAAAAAATAGATGGACCAGATTTGTTCTGTATTCATTTGCTTCCCCCTCCGTCCGTGAAATCAACGGCCTGCTAAACCTAGGGTTTTGAGTTCAATCTTTGGGGGGGCCATTCTGTGTGACAGTTGTTTGTGTTTCTCCCTGATGCACAGCCACCTTTGTTGATTTTAATTCCCTATATCTGTACGCCATGTCGTCAGTCGCCCCTCCCTCCCTCCGTCAGACACTAGTTTCACGCCTTTTTTCAGACCAGACGCCATAGCTAGCACTGGGATCATGGAGCCCACTCAGATCACCGTGGCAATTATGAGCACTATGAACACCACACACATTGTCCTGGAGTATATGCAGAGCCAGGACATACCAAAGCAAAACCAGGACCAGCCGAGGAGGCGATTGCAGCGCGGCGACGAGAATGATAAGGAAATTGACATGGACATAGACCTCTCACAAGGTACAGGCCCCAGCAATGTGCAAATCATGGTGTTACTGGGGCAGGTTCATGGCGTGGAACGCCGATTCTGGCCCCGGGAAACAAGCACAGACTGGTGGGACCGCATCGTGCTACAGGTGTGGGACGATTTCCAGTGGCTGTGAAACTTTCGCATGCATAAGGGCACTTTCATGGAACTTTGTGACTTGCTTTCCCCTGCCCTGAAGCACCAGAATACCAGGATGAGAGCAGCCCTCAGTTGAGAAGCGAGTGGCGATAGCCCTGTGGAAGCTTGCAACGCCAGACAGCTACCGCTCAGTTGGGAATCAATTTGGAGTGGGCAAATCTACTGTGGGGGCTGCTGTGATCCAAGTTGCCAGGGCAATCAAAGACCTGGTGATATCAAGTGTAGTGACTCTGGGAAATGTGCAGGTCATAGTGGATGGCTTTGCTGCAATAGGATTCCCAAACTGTGGTGGGCCGATAGACGAAACCCATATCCCTATCTTGGCACCGGAGCACCAAGCCACCGAGTACATAAACCGCAAGGGGTACTTTTCAATGCTGCTGCAAGCCCTGGTGGATCACAAGGGACGTTTCACCAACATCAACATGGGATGGCCGGGAAAGGTACATGATGCTCGCGTCTTCAGGCACTCTGGTCTGTTTCGAAAGCAGGAGGAAGGGACTTTCTTCCCGGACCAGAAAATAACCGTTGGGGATGTTGAAATGCCTTTAGTTAGCCTTGGGGACCCAGCCTACCCTTTAATGCCATGGCTCACACAGGCAGCCTGGACAGTAGTCAAGACCTGTTCAACTATAGGCTGAGCAAGTGCCGAATGGTGGTGGAATGTGCATTTGGACGTTTAAAAGCACGCTGGCGCAGCTTACTGACTCGGATAGACCTCAGCGAAACCAGTATCCCCATTGTTATTGCTGCTTGCTGTGTGCTCCACAATATCTGTGAGAGTAAGGGGGAGACATTTATGGCGGGGTGGGAAGTTGAGGCAAATCGCCTGGCTGCTGATTACGCGCAGCCAGACACCAGGGCGGTTAGAAGAGTACAGCAGAGCACGGTGCGCATCAGAGAAGCTTTGAAAACGAGTTTTGTGACTGGCCAGGCTATGGTGTGAAACTTCTGTTTGTTTCTCCTTGATGAACCCGCCGCCCCCCCCCACCCGGTTAACTCTACTTCCCTGTAAACCAACCACCCCACCCTCCCCTCCCCCCTTCGAGCACCACTTGCAGAGGCAATAAAGTCATTGTTACTTCTCATTCATGCATTCTTTATTAATTCCTCACACAACTAGGGGGATAATTGCCAAGGTAGCCCGGGATGGGTGGGGGAGGAGGGAAGGAAAAGGACTCACTACAGTTTAAAACTTTAAAACTTTAACACTTATTGAAGGCCAGCCTTCCGATGCTCGTGCAATCATCTGGGGTGGAGTGACTGGGTGGCCAGAGGCCCCCTCTCCGTGTTCTTGGGCATCTGGGTGAGGAGGCAATGGGACTTGGGGAGGAGGGCTGTTGGTTACACAGGGGCTGTAGCGGCGGTCTCTGCTCCTGCTGCCTTTCCTGCAGCTCAACCATACGCTGGAGCATATCAGTTTGATGCTCCAGCAGCCGGAGCATTGACTCTTGCCTTCTGTCTGCAAGCTGATGCCACCTATCATCTTCAGCCTGCCACTTGCTCTGTTCATCCCACGATTCATCCCACCACCTCTCCTCTCATTCATATTGTGCTTTTTTGCACTCTGACATTGACTGGCTCCACGCATTCTGCTGTGCTCTTTCAGCGTGGGAGGACACCTGGAGCTCTGTGAACATATCATCCCGAGTCCGCCATTTTCTCCTTCTAATCTTCGCTAGCCTCTGCGAAGGAGAAACATTTGCAGCTCGTGGAGGAGAAGGGAGAGGTGGTTAAAAAAGACACATTTTAGAGAACAATGGGTACACTCTTTCACGTTAAATTTTGCTGTTCACATTACACAGCACATGTGCTTTCGTTACAAGGTCGCATTTTTCCTCTTATATTGAGGGCCTGCCGGTTTGGTGTGAGAGATCACTCA